CCCCATATGTTGCATCACATAACCACACGTTTTTAAATATTTTAATTTAAAAATCAAATTGTTTTGATTGGGGATGCACTACCTCTAATGTTGGAAATGCTGAAACTTTCAACCTATTTTGACCAATTGATTCTGATATCGATCTTCCTTTTTGATTGTGAGGAGATTTTCTTATTTTTGTGTGACAACAAGTTCACAGAAGAGCTGTTAGTGATCATTTTGATGCGATGGTGCCTATTTATGTCAGTTTTTTTAATTTATTGTGAGTCATGACCCCTGGCAGGCTTTGTAACATTTTAATATTGTGCATCCTTTAATTTTATACTTAATTTTACCCATTTTTTCATTTTTGTTTTATAACAAGTGTTTTTTTTTTTGTGTCATTAAATCTGAGTAAATGTGGCATAAAAACACACAGAGCAACAGTAATAGCACAAAGCAGGCGAGTCATTTTCTATAGGACACAATCGATACTGACAGGAGAAATTAATTTTCCTGCTCTGGGGTCCGTCCGTGATTGGATCAGGACTGAGTTGAAGGAGAACGACGGAGTCTCCTGGTAGTTTTTTTATTTTGGCTGATTTAGCTCATAAAGTCGAGCTGAGGGAATCTTAATGAGACCTGAGCTAATTCAAGAACCCCCTCAAAATGCTGATACAAAACACTGAMGCTTCCTTGTCCAGAAAATAAAGTTTCTCTCTGCTTCGCCTGAAAGGAAACCAATTATTCACACAAAAGAGTTTTGGCGTGCTTTCATCTTTTTGTCGATTCTGAACCCAGATTTATGGATCATATAAGTTTGTAGAGCCTTGGGGGACTGGTTGAAATGTCTTTACAGAGGATAAACATCCCTCCCATAATGTGTGATAATATATACACATATTTTTCACAGCCTTGGACACTTGTCACATCCAGATGTATGAACCTGCTTAATTCCTGCACATCTCAAATATGTATGAAGTTTTAGATCTAATGCATAAACTAACAGCAAACAAGCCTCTGTTATTTATCCACACAAAAGCAAAACTGTTGCCCTAATCGGGCTTTATTTCTGGTTAWTTAGTAAATCCAGTAAAAATGCTCGACAATTTATTTGGTCTCTGCCAATTCATTCAAAACATGTTAACTCATGCATTGCAAGTCAAGTTAAGGTGAAGTTATACTTAATTGATGACGGTTTTCATTAAATTCTATGCAAAAATAAGTATTTAAAAATTCTTAGAGCGACAAGATGTTTACTTCAAACTGAGGTTTAAAGAGCCATCTAAAACAGGTTGGATTTTTATTGATCATATTTCTTTTTCTTCAGAGCTCTGATTTAAAAGCTTTAAAGTAGCACTTTAATTTCAAAATGTCAATTTATTTAGTGACCAAAGTGGTTCAAAAATTCAGCCAAATAAATGAATAAAACAACAAAGCAACAAACATGTTAAAAATAAGTAAGATCAATTTAAAATAAATACAACATTAAAACATTCGCTTTAAAAGCATCTCAAACTCCACCAGAATGTAAGGCCAAGGAGTAAAAATGAGTTTTAAGCAGATTTAAGAGTCAGCCTCGGCGGTCCGAATGCAAAACGGTAGCAGACACTGCAAAAACCCGATCACCTCTAAATTTTAGCTTCAATCTAGGAACATCTAAGAAAAGATAAACTTTCCAAAAATTGGATTATTCTGGTTAAAATATAAGCCTGATTCAGAGTAAAAGGAAACTTGCTGTGAAAATGTCTTTTTTACTCTTCTGTTGCACTAAACTGCTAAACCCTGCACCGCAAGACGTTTGGATCTGCTGAGTTGTGTCATTCATCACAGAGGAGTCACTGCAGCGCCGGTACAAGAACAAGCCATCAGAAATGACTGTAATATGAACTAATGTAGCTTTGCAGACAGCAATGGGCTTTAAATGTAATGTACGTCTGAATGGACGAAAGACCACATTACTTTTTTTTTTCTGCAGCAGCAAGCAAACAAATCAATATTTTTATATCACAATTATTCTCATTGTAGCATATCAGTGGACACAACATCAATGTGATTTATTTTTTTTTTTATTTTATTCTTCGTTTTACCTTGTTGGAATTTATTGTGCCAAGTGCCTATTCTCTGGGATTTTTACACACAGCACTGTGCAATATGATGGACAGCTGGGTGTCCTGTCCTCTATCTGTCCACTACAGCCAGTGCAGCAGCAGAGGACTTTTAGAGAAGTGTTTAAACCAGGGGTGGGCAATCCTGGTCCTCGAGGGCCGCAGCCCTACATGTTTTATGTTTTTCCTGGCTCCAACATACCTGATTCAGACATTGATTTACCTTCTAAGTTCTGCAGTACGGAGGACTGACACTGACATAATTATAAATAAAAGCAGAAATATTTAAATGAACCACTAAATAAATTAATACACTTAAAATGCACCAATTCAATTAAAAAACTTCACCTCGTGTTTTGTAATTTAATTCTCGTTTAATTGATATTTTTTAACAATTCAAATTTGACTGTTTTTTAAAATATATATTTTCAGTTTTCCCTTTTACTTGTACATACGTTGGTCTCTTAAAGGTTGAAATTGAAATATTTTTATAGTTTTGTCCCACAAGACTTTTTTGTTTCGATGTGTTGCAGGCGTGTGCTGCCTCAGTTTAGCTTAAAGTTTAAAGTTGAGTTAAAAACAAAAGGCACGGGTAAGTTTTTCTCCTTGCCTTTGTTTTAAACTAAACTTTAAGCTAAACTGAGGCAGCACACGCCTGCAACACATAGAAATAAAAAAGCCTTGTGGGAAAAATATAAAAATAATTAAGTATGAACATTTAAGAAACACAAATGCATGTAGAAATAAAAGGAAAAACAAAAATATATGTATTTTAAAAAACATTCAATTTTAAATTATGTGTTAAAATATATAGACTAATTTATACTAATCTGGAAAATAAATATTAAAGTCATTTCAAACAAAAAACATGAGATAAAGTTCTCCTTTGTTATTTTAATTGGTGCATTTAAATGTATTTATTTAGTGGTTCATTTATATAATTCTGCTTTTATTTCTAATTATGTCAGTTTCGGTCCTCCGTACTGCAAGAAGCCTGATAATCATCCATTCATTCATATCAGGTGTGTTGGAGCAGAGAAGCAAGTAAAACATGTAGGGCTGCAGCCCTCGAGGACCAGGATTGCCCACCCCTGGTTTAAACATTGTTACATGTTTTCTGTGGTTTTATTGTCGTTGTTGTTGTGTTGTGACTCAAGTTGTGCAAGAAAATGGAAATTGCCAAATGTACATGACATAATCTTGTTTTCTTTTACTTTTACATGTTGTTTAAAGATGGTCTTTTAGTTTTTTACTACCGTGTTTTGTTAAGAAGTGTCTGTTTGTGCCGTTTCGACCTGTCACATGATAATGTAAACTGATCTGGTGATGTGTGACATGATTTTCTGACAATGTGCACATGCCGTCTGTGTTTTGTAAAATGTTGGTCAACATGGATGTCTTTCTAAAATCATGACTGGCTGGTTTCTGTGGAGGAAGTGATAGGGGTCCAAACATATATATGTTTTTATACTTGTTGTGTGTTCGTTTCATTTCTGGAATTCATTGGACACCATACCAGCATTTCAAAATAAAACATCTTTCCCAGCTGAGTTTAATAGTCAGATCAGTTTGTTTTATGAGAAACATTCCTAAGAATTAATATGAGCAATGAAGTTGGGAAATGAGTAAAATTTCAATATTTCTGCATAATATCGAATAGTTTGGTTCTGTTGTGAGCAGAAAAGGTGAAGGTGAGAGCTGTCTGTCAGAAAAAAGGTTATAAATGTCCATGTCAAAGATCATCTCCGAGCAGTTTCCTGTTCTTCTGACCGCAACTGCCAATAATTTAATAGGATCCCTGGACTGTAGCCAACCTAGCATGTGGATGCAAGAAGAAATGCAACCCCAGGTTGATCAGATATACACTGCAGATAGTAGAGAAAAAAGCAAAGGAAACCATCCAGAACCATTAAAACTGAACTCTAAGTTCAAAAGTATGTCTTTTTCTGAACATACCATCCATCACATAATAATTCAGCTTCTTTGACAAAAACTAAAACACTTTATCTGTATCTTATTTTGTTCAAAGCAATTCAAAAACATTTCACATGTCCTCAGAAAATTGACGTTTTTTTTTTTTTCACACATAAGTGTCAGCTGAGTACCACAGTGATTTTTAGTGGAAGCACTTTTCCAATTATAAAAATGGGCTCATGCTCTCAAAC